TCAAAGAACATTTCTAAAGATGGAACAAAATAATTTAAATGACACCAGTTCAAATTCTTAGTACTACCAACTATGTCAACAGGCATGTTTATTTCAAGAAATATAAAATTATTGGAGGGTTGAGTTACTGTTCTTAGATAATTTTACTTCTCTTAGTTCTGAAGTGCTTTTTGTGGGATTATTTTCCTTCAGAATGAGATTCTCTGGCCTGGATAATTAACAGGCAGGTAACAACTTATCTGAACAATTCCATATCTGCTCTGCTGAGACTGGTTTTATGGTCATATTGACTAAAGCTCAGTGAAAGTACATTAACTTGAGCATATTAACAAAAAAGAAATGCTCGATTATTTTGCCTGTGTTTGATACCCAGAGGCTCAAAATTATAATGTACAGGATACTTTTCACTGTTTGATGCCCCTGGCAGGTAGCCCTTGGGACTGTGTAGCTAAAGACATTTTGAATAGAGCAGAGACCATGAGACTCAAATTAGGTGCAGAAACCTGGATTTGCATCCCAGTACTTCCAACCTTTTGCTTCTCTGCATTTTCAATCTCTAATTATAACAAAGTACACATATCTTTCTGTAAAATTGTAAAGAACATCAATAAGGCAATAACTTAAAAGCACTCACATGGTGTATTCCACATTTAAGGAGCTTAATATACCTTGGTGTAATCTAAACTTAATATAAGCATAAATTTATTTCAATGCAAAATTTTTTCAATGCATACATTTTTCCAGTGAAAGATCACTCTTTGCCTTTCTTTCTCCCTTCTTTTCACTGTTTTCTTGCTTTTGCATTCTTGTAAATAATGGTTTTTTAGTCAGGTCTCTTTCTGCAAATTTGAGCTACTTTAAGCAGAAGGGAAGCAATTCATTTGGAAGATATTACGTAGTTCATAGAATGTGAGAGTGCCAGAAATTCCTGTCTAGAAGCTCTACCTGATGACTCCAGAGGAAGCCTACAGCCAGCACCACTGGGCAACACCCACAGCCCAGCCCCAAGATGCCAGCTCCTGTGCCAGCACGTGACCCCAGCCCTGCTGTCCCCGCTTGAACTTGCCTGGAGTAGAGACTATGCTTTGCCCCTCCCTCCCTTCCTCCCCTCCCTCCCTTCCTTCCTCCCTTCCCTCCCTCCCTCGCTCCCCTCCTCCTTCTCCTTCTCCTTCTTCTTCCTTTTTCTTCCTCTCTCCTTTCTTTCTTTCATTCAAAACGGATGCAGTCATTTTCTAAAAAGCTTATGTGGGTTTTCATGACTACATCTGATTGGTAGAGTCTTCTATCTTGGTTGCAAGAGAAAGGTGATGTTCAACTTCTACTTTGGGAGTCCAAATCAAAGGAATTCCACAAACAGGAAAGCTTCCACATGGCTAACACCATCTAATGGCAGAAATGTTAGGGCCAATAAAAAGCACAAGTCTTGATTCCCACAACTATGTGCATGTCTATTTTTCACTCTTCCTGGGGGTTTTCTGTGTGGTATATAATATGCTATGTGCTGTATAATGCTTATACCATATGTATTAATTCATTGAACATATATTACATACTAAAACACTTGCAAAGGAATAAGAAATATTATGACTTGTATGAGTAAGATGTGTGCCACTCATTCTTGGAATTAACATCCTAATTGGGAGATGTAATGTAAACCACTAATTATAGGGAACATGAAGACACCTGTACTGTAAAAGCATTTGTACACATAGGTCATGTGTAGAGGCAAAATTCTAATCTTCTAGAGGAAGCCCAAGCTAATAATGCTGTCTGATAAGACCTATATCATTCACACATTGGTCAGTGTTCTGGGTTACACAGGGGTCTGGATGATTCTGTGTTGGTGGTAAATTCAAAGGTGATTACATATTTCAATTTTTATCCATATTAAAGTTTTTAGATCTTTCCTTCCCTTCAAAATCATCATTTTAAGCTTCATTATTGTTCAGATACTATAAAATGAAATTTTAGATTATAAAATGCCCTTGAAAATAGCAACTTCTTATGATGACACTAATGTTTTAGTTTTTAGTCTTAAAACATTATCGTTTTTAATTTACATTTCTTATGTGTACTCATTTAATAACCAACTTTAAATTCAGTAATCACATTTTCCCCTAAGCTTTGATTAGAACAATTATGGTAAATGAAAATAAGAAAGTAATTTCTTTAAAGAGATTCAAAAGCATCCTTTTCAGGCACATAAAGAAGTCTTCCAAATAGTTTTTCAACATCAGGCCTAAAAAAGACACTTTGTGTTCTTCTTAAAATACATGGATGTAAAACTTTCTCATTGTCACTTTTCATCTTTGCCTTGGTTTCCCCCAGAAGTATAGCAGAAGACAACACACAAAAAGTGCTCAATAAATAATATTGAAGAAACATCGGGCCTTTTCAATTAGACCTAGAAGACAGAAGCATCAGCAGAAAGTCACCTCAAAAGTAGGAAAATTGGGAACAGATAAAAGAGGTAGAAAAACAGATAACTGAGCTCTACAATTTATCTATTCTAATTGTTCCTTATCCCTAAACTCTCTTGATCAATAATTAGGCTTGCTTTAAAGCCTAACAATATCCATTAACACACACAAACAGTAAATGGAATCTGTAAATCGATTGTCGTGTATGGCTGAGTATTTTCTGCCAACTCACTAGTGTACACTTAACACTGACAGTAATTTCCCCAGTTGCATAATTCCCTCACATTGGCATCTGGGTGTTTTGTTTTTAAAAATATCTAATAATATGGGTGTTAGTTAGTTTTTCTATTATTGGGAAGCTGGACCCAACACCTCCAGTTTAAAGAAGAAGTAGTTTTACATGGTTCATGGTTCTAGAGGGCTCAGTCCATGGTTGGCTGGTTCTGAGAGAGAAATATCATGGCAGAAGGGCTTGGCAGAGGAAAGCTGCTTGCTTCATGAAGTTTGGGGAGCAGGACAGAGGAACAGAGCTGGAGAGGAAAAGGCTAGGACTTACATCTAGTACCCAAGGCCACACCTCCACACCTCACCCGGACACATTCAGAAGTGTGCTTTAATAATGCCCCAGGCTTTTCTTAAGCCGTCAAGTTGACACAATTAAGGTTAGCTGTCACAATGTGTAAGGAAAAAGAAAGGCTGCAAACACTGTGATTAGCGGAGTTTTTACAGCACATTTTACTCATTGTGGTAAAAGCAACTCAAAGCATGAGACACATTTCATGAAGGTCGGTGAACTATGAAAGGGTCCATACAGCTCTATTAGGGTGAGAGAGAATATAATTTTTTGCATGAGTGGCTCCTCTGGGCAACTCAGAATTTCCTCTCTAGAAATAGAAACACTATAGAAAGTCTTTTACTAGTTCTTATATTTTTGTTCTTCATCCCCACATCCTACAAATATCACACACACACACACATGTTTACACATGTACGCACACTTACATGCACATACACACAAGCAAGATAGGTGTTTTTTTGCAAGAAAGAGCCCAAATCACTGTGTCATAAAAGACACAGAAGTTTATTTTTCTGTCTTTCAGGTAGAAATGCATGTAGACAAATCAAACGGCTCCACAAAGTGAAGTTCCCACTTGCTGGTGGGAACCTCTTGGCAGGATCTTCTAAGGCAGTCAGTCAGCTGGAAGGGTGAAGACGGGAAAGGGGAGGGGAAGGTGCCCGCCTGTCCTGCCGGGCAGCTCCTCGAGCTTCCTCACCATGCTCCACTGACACCTCCTAGGCCTGATCTGATAACACGACCACCTTCAACCACAGTGAAGGCTCAGAAGCAGCATTTCTATTTTACACAGTGTCTTCCTTCCGACGCACTGCACTTTTATTACTGGGAGCAGAGGAAGAGTGAAAACCGGCAGACACTCGCAGCTGCCGTGAGGTCCCTCCTCATCCTGCCCGTGGGGAGTCTGTGGCATTTCATTTTCAGATGACACAGGACAGGTTCCTTCCTTCCCTTCCCACCCTGTGCTACCTTTCTCTCTACCCCTTCAGCCACTCTGGAACTTTATTCTTTTGTTACCAAACACACTTCTTCCGCTCAAAAAAGAGGAGAGCAATTAGTGAAGGACAGACTGACTTTCAAGATGTCAGACACTAAATACTAAGAATCTTAATAGGAAAAACTGAGCCAAATTCTACAGTTCAGCTTGTGTGTTTGCCACCTAAATTGAGACCACAGTCAATTTTAATTGAACATAAATCTCCTAAGCAGTAGATCAGTGTTTTCATTTGCTAGTAAGGAGGTTTTTTACTTGTTCCCAAAAGATGTTAAACTTTAGTAGTAGTTGCAATTTTATCACAGTGAAACAAAGGCCTGGAACATTTAATATTCTCTGGAGGAACCTCAACCACTATGTGCAACAGAATTAGTAGTGTAAGCACCAATGGAGGCTGCTCTGCAGACCCTGGTTAGCTGGGCAGCCATTCTCACATCCACAGAGAATGAGCAGTTTACAGGGATATCCACCTTCACAGAAAGAAACCAAGGGGGGAGGTGCCCACCCCGCCCCATACGTCCCAACTCTGTCTTCCCCCATCCTTCTGTGTATTGGACTTCTATACAGGGTATTGCTTTAAAAATCAAAATCTGATCTCATCATTCCCAGCCCTAATTCTATTTCCTGATGACTCAATTCTTAAAGATGTCATAGCTTAGAAGTCCTTATGCCTTTCAAGAGCTAGCAGAGAAGCATTCAAAGAGAAGTGTGTAGATTCCTGTTGACTTGTGGTTATGACATATTTTTGCAAGACTGAATGTATCTGAGAAGACCATAGTGATTCTTACGAAGCAGTCTTCCTGCTGCCTCTGTTCATAAGATTATAGTAACATGTTTGTTTCCCTGAAAGTCACAACCTATGTTTATATTTGAAGTTTTTCCTTTTGGTGGATATTGTTCTTTCTAAAGCTTAATTCTTTTCTCATGTGCAAATATATTTATCGTCCCAAAACAGTATTCCTACATATGTCAACATAACACCAAAGAAATAATGACTGGCTGACAGGCGCTCTTGCGTCTGCACATTACAGCTTCTCCACGACTTTTATTATTTATATCCATTACAGACCCCTCTCGGCAGCCCTACTTCATCTGACAAAGATCCCGTGAGGACAATAAAAAAGAGGGTAAGCATTGATAGGCTTGTGGTTAATTATGAAAGTTCGATCTTTTCATGCCGATAGATTAGCTGCATAAGCCAAAATAACATCTCAAAAGGAAGAGCTAAGAGTTCTATTCTAAATAAAATACTCCAAGAATTTATTTCTCTCTGCATCTGTTTCTTCGTTTTCCAGCTCGTACTTCTTCATGGCAACAAAATATCGAATGAAAGTCTCTCCCAGAGCCTGTCTCAGACACTGGTCCTCCTCCAGGGCCACAAGCGCATCTTCCAGTTTCAAAGGGATCTCGGCAGCAGGTGGCTGGTAAATCCCCGTGCTATCACCTGCCCCGACAGAGGCATCCTCGCAGCTCTGCAGCCCATCCAGGCCTGCGGCGACGGTGGCAGCCAGCACCAGGTAGGGGTTGGCGGTGGCCGAGCCCAGCTTGTTTTCTATCTGGGTGCCTCTCCCACCGTGACTTTTGATGTTGAAAGCACAGCTGTTGTCGTTGTAGCCCCAGGTCGTAGGCACAGACGTGGCCTTTAGGTCTTTGCTGTCCTTGCAGTAGCGCTTTCGGCAGCTGACAGCGGGTGCCATCAGGCAGCTGAGGGCCGCAGAGTGTTTCAAAAGTCCTGCCAGCCACTTCTTCCCGGGACCTGCGAGCTGCTCAGCTCCAGAACTGCAGCAGAACATGTTTTTCTTCCCACTGACATCCCAGACACTATGGGACAAAATTCCTGAATTGCAGAAGCCAGTCTCAACGAAAAAGCTGGCAATGTAATTATATTTCCTGGCCACTTCTTTCACACCTGTTCGGAGGGTAAATGCATTATCAGCTGAACTAATGCCAAACTCAGGCAGAAAACAGATTTCCATCTGACCGGGCCTGGTAGAAGAGGAAAAGCTCTCTACGGTGGCCCCAGTATGATACAAGCCATCCACAAGCTCCTGCATGAAGGGCTGGTCGTGATTATACAGAAATGTCGAAGCAGGAAAAGACACAGCCTTCGAATTGATAACTTCAGGCACACCAAAAATGCAGAAGTCATAGAGGAAGGCAGAGAACAGGGAGAAGCCGGCGTCCTGCAGCTGGTTCAGCTGTCTCTTGGCCATGTACCTGGGGGAGGTCAGCAGAGGTTCCCCAGTCACGGTGAAGGTGTCGCAGATCACTCGAGCGGTTCTTTCCACCCACGGCAACACTCTGAAGGTCGAGAGCTCCGGCATTAGAACGATGTCACTATTAAAACAGGTGGCTCTTATGTGATTCAGTTCATTGTCCTTAGGATTTGGGATCAATTCAAGATAACCTCGGGGCATGAAAACACCCTGGGTCACTTTTTCCTAAGGAAAGAAAAGGAGAAATTAACTAAGGCAAAGGGAAGTGCTGAGGAAGAGCTTTGTTAATGAGAAGAGATGTTTCAGAATAAAATCTCCAATGGTACCTTTATCAACTATGAGTGTTTTAAGCCTTGAAGGTTTTATAGGCTGCTAGAAATGAAAAACAGCTATAAAACATATATAAATGCATAAATAATGATAAAGAAAATCTGCTTATTGCAAAAGACAAAGGTAAAGCCTTATGAAAATATTTGAAATCATCATCAAAAGTACTTTGTAAAGTACCTTTTATTTTATGGTATAGTTGCCAAAATCTCAGATAAGGCCTTACTTTGGTTTATTTGAATTGTACATACTTATGGGGTACAGTAATGGTAATTCCATACATGTTTACAATGTTTACTGATCAAATTGGGATAAGTAATATTTCCTCTGCTTATCATTACTTTATGTTAGCACCTTCAAGCACAACTTTTCAAGTTATTCATAAAATATCCAAATGTTTTGAACAACAATGATAAACTTAGAACTCTTACTTAATTGTATTCCAGTGCCCATTTTCCAAACGCCTTCTAGGCCCCCTCCGCTACATTTATTCTGTCTTCTGTTAATCATTATTCTACATTTAGAGCAACTTTCTTGAGGATCCAAATATGAGAGGGAATATGTGGCATTTGTCTTCCTTTGTCTGATTTACACCACATAACATAATGACACCAGTCCCATTCATGTTGCTGTGAATGATGGGATCTCTTTCTTTTTGTGCCTGAATAATATTTTACCATGAAAGCATACCACATTTGCCTTGGTCATTCTTCCACTGATGGGAATCTAGGTTGATTTCATACCGTAACACCGTGAATAGTGTAGCTAATAGATCTGTGCCCTGTAACCAGCTCTCTTACTCCTGGATACGTGTCCAAATGAAACGCGATAGCGTATCAAGAGATACCACAACACTTGTGCTTGTGGCATCCTCTGTTGAAGCCCTGCATGAACTGGCTCTCAGAATTCTGCAGCAGAGAATCATTCCTCAGTCTTTGTCAGAAAGCTGACTGCGGTCAGACTGACAGCACAGTTTCACGCCTTTTTCTACTCACTGTCTTGGCTACTTTTCTCTCATTGCTGAGACAAAATACCCAATGTCCAAAATTAAGGGAGGAAAGGTTTATTTAGCTCACAGTTTGTGGAGGTTTCAGTCCATACTCGGCTGGTTCTAAGGCGGGGTGGCAGAAGGCAACAGTTCATGGCGGTGGAAGACAGCAAAAGCAGCAAAAGCAGAAAGGGAGGAGCAGCAGGAAAAGCAAGACACTTCCCCTCCCTTACACCGTATGCAAACTACCCACCCCAGGGCAGGTGTAGCACTCACACCCATAATCCCAGCATTGGACCATGCATCAATCATAAACTCTAGAAGCCCGCCCCATTACTGCACGAGGCTTTGGGAGGACACCCAGACACAAACCATAACACTGACTTTTACAATCTGCTTAAGAATTAACTACCTCACTGTCTCATGGAGCCCCAGAGAATTCGTCTGTGAATGTGGACCTATATCTCCAAAGTTACAGTTTCCAAAACACTCTGACCTCCAAGTCAATGTGAACTGTTTGTCTACAGATCAAACCTCAAGTCATCACACTTTTATTAATTACTGGTGTGAACTCTGGCAACTCACTAGGGATGAGCCTTGATTTCCATATCCATAAGATAAAAGTGTTCAATTTGACCATTGCTAAGGCACTTTCTAGCTATATCTATCTGGGGTTCAATGGATTTGGTCATTTATTTAACTTTTGCTGTGTATCACACAAGAGGGACGTGATGAGGTTATAAAATTGAAGAAAGACATAAAACAATTTCTGGAAATTGTGTACAATGTCAACAAAACTTCATATGTTCAAGGTTATACTAATGGGTGGAAAAGAGGTTCTGACCATAAAATGAGGTTCTCATGAAGTTAGCTAGCTTTGTGAGGTTAATGAAACATCCTAACATTCTGCCAGCCAAACTGTTTTCTTATACTATTCTCAGATCTCAAAGAGTCAGGCTACCAGGAGGGTTGATGTGGAAGGAGAGAATGCGTAGGTCCCTGGGTGTGCCTGGGAGCCACTGACTCCTCCTTCCACAGCTACTGCACACATTGTCAAATCCCATTCGACCTGGCTCAGCTGAATCTGCTTTTATCAGCAATAAATTTGAGTGAGACAAGCACTTTTTGGTGCTTACTTAATTTTTCAAATTACTCAAGGATTCATCCACGTCAGTTTATAAACACACACACACACACACAGAGTGGGATCTCTGAGCAACCACTTCAATATGGAACTCTTCAACTCAAATATTCGTTGCAAGAAATCGTGTCCTTTCCCTCCTCATACTTTTCTTCCTTTGAGCATCTCTATATCCATTCTGCATGTCTGAAATGAGCAATCAGATATTTTATCCTTGAAGTTTGTAGGAGTTCCTGTAGTTCAGATCTGCTCTGTGTCCCCATCACTGTGAGCAGAGAGCAACTGATTTCCATTTCAACTCAAAAGTCCTCTGCACACTTGCGAGCCACAACCTAAGTCACACTTTATCTTCCAGCCTGTTTGATCCATATTTTTAGGCCCTACTTTCTAATACTGTCACTTTCTTTATTATTTTTCAGACATGGTGAATTTAAGCTACTCTCTATTAGTTGTAGATAATGCATAGACGCATAAGGATACCTCTTGTTCCTGACAATAAATTACCTTCTCATCAATAGATGTAAAATACTGGATGTAAAACACTTTTCAATAGATGTAAAACTTCATATCTCAAAAAATAAATAAATAAATAAATAAAACTTCGTACCTCAATGTAGATCACTCTAAACTCAATAAAAATTCCTGCAGTATAATTCAAAATCCTATGACAACTGAAATTTGGACCACAATAAAGGTTATCTTTTGAAATAACCCAAGAATTAGGTCTGAATTCTATAATAGTATGTCATATTTCAATTAGATCAAAGACAGAACCCACATTATCTCCATCTGATATAAATAAAAAGCACTCTTTGGTTAGAACAAAGACAGTATAAATGGATCTGCTGGCCCACACCTGTAATCCCAGCACTTAAGAGGCTGAGGCAGGAGGATCACTCCATAAATTTAGGGTCAGCCTGAGCTACACAATGAGTTCAAAAGTAGCCTGAAGTATATGGACAGACCCTTTCTCAAGCAAAAACAAAAACAAAAAACAACAAAAGACTGACTATAATTTGACTGAAAGATTTCAATGTGCCACTCATAATACCTAAAGCTTGGAAGCAGCCTATATGTCCATCCACAGATGTGGATAAAGAAAATGTGGTCTTTACATAGAATGGATCGCTATATTGCAATAAAAAGGGTGACTCTAAGGCATTTGTAGGGGAGTGAATGCCTCCTGAGACAATGTTAAGTGAAATAGATCAAACAGCACATGGTTTCTTTATATGAGAAAACCACAGTGCAGATAAATTAGAGACCAAAAGAAAAGATGGGCAATGGGAAACAAGGAGCTAGACCCTTTGCCAACAGGAAGTAGACCAAGAGATGGGGGAAGGGAAGGAAGGAAGGAGAAGGGGAAGTGGAAAGAATGCAGATGCACTGTGTCCTTGCACCAGCTTGCCACCAAGAATGGAATCATTATGTTCTTCAATATATACTAATAAAAAGAAATAATTTTTAAAAAGACTTAAATGTGCTCAGGTCTGGAAGGTATTTAACCTTTGCTAAGCTCTTTAAAAAATATAGACACCATTTTATCATGGGTTACTCCTTGTGCTTTTTCCAATTATAAAAGTCTCCTTTATTTTTACTAAATGATATTCTTTTAAAAAATCAATTATTTCACAGTGCTGCACGCCTGTCATCCCAACACTCTGAGTGGCTGAGTCAGGAGGATCACAAGTTTGAGTCCAGCCTGGGCAGCTCAGTGATTTAGCAAGAACCTGCCTCAAACTAAAATAGAAAAGGGCTGGGGACGCAGCTCAGGGCACGGACCCTGGTTCATCTACAGTGACCGCTCCTCCCCCAGTTTCTTATTTTAAATTTAGTAATAAATAACACAGCTCAAAGAAATAATCAAAGAGGCAGGAGAGGTGAGCTGGCTGCAGTGGGTGCAGTCAAACAAGAGCGAGTGCACGGAGCCGCGAGCGGAGAGTCAGACCCACGTCCCTGCCTCCTTCCCGGCACCACTCTCTGCAGGGCTTCAGCGCAGCCCAAGGTTTCTCTGCTGTTTCCGAGCCTCCCCCTCTGCCTCGTTGCAGAGAAGATGAATGATGCTCTCTTCTATGCTTCATGGTCTAATTTAATAGTGCCCAAATCTACATTTTATTTTGTACAAAAAAGTTTTAAAATTATTCTTAGAAAGAACTAAATTACTATTTGCTAAGCCCTAGGCAGACTCAAACAATGGGCTCCACACTTTGTCCAGCGAGTCTCTCCTCTCCAGTTGTCTGTGTAGACAAACGCACACATTGAGCTTGCACAGACAAGCCTGCCTCTAACATCTATTCACAATAAATCTTCACCCAAAAGTTATTTAAGCTTAAATTACACATATTCAGGGTGCATGTAGTCATTATGATTTATACCTTCAAACATTCCCAAATGAATTTAAACTGTTTTGTTAAATATATATACAGATACTCTGAACATTAAATGAGAAAAAATAAGTAGGTCATGAAATGAGAAAGTGAGCTATTAAAAACAGAGACAAGAATAAGCATACCATCTGAGGGGTGTGTGAGGAGTCTATCAAAATGCCATGGTAAACTTTTTCCTAGCTGAACTGCAGAAAGGGGAATGGAGTTCTGATATGTTGGCTATTAACTAGTTAATGGAAAATATTTGGGATAACAATTTGAAAATGCAGAAATTTTCTTTTTATGTTAATTATATCAATCTTCAAAAACAAAACAAACAGGGGCTGAGGATTTAGCTCAGCAGCACAGTGCCTTCCTGGCAAGCACAAGATCGTGAGGTCAATTCCTGGTACCGGAAGAAAAACAAAAAAGAAAAACAGCCACAACAGAAGAGCACATTATGGTGGTACAGGGCTGTAATTCCAACACTCCGGAGGCAGAGGCAGGAGGATCCCCATGAGCTCAAGGCCAGCCTCAATTACACTAGCAAGACCATGTCTCCAAAAATATTATATCAATCTTCAGCATATGTAGACAGTATATTAAGTTTTATTTTGTAAAGATGTTCCACAGGGGAATAAAAGTACTGTCATGAATGAAGTAAATTATTAGGATTTGAAAAAAGATTGAAGGACAGTTTTACACTGCATCCCTGGCAAGTGTGTGAATTTCAGGAGCTGTATGTTTCCTTACTGGGCAGGAGAGGTTCATGTGAATTGTCTTCTGGACCCATCCACACACAGTAAAGTTCACCTTTGTTATCAGAAGTAATGGTCATGTATTCTTAACTGAGTGAAGAAGAAAAAGTATCTATAGTCAAATACAAATATCTTACAAACAAATACAAATGTGTTAGAACCATTCGAAAAGTTTGTTTGGAGATACTCTGCTTCCCCCAATAGAAGCAACTAAGAAACATTACAGTCTGATATTAAAGTGATAAAAGTATGACATTCTAAAAGTAGTTAAGCTGAAAGAATGCTTAATTTTTATACTTCGTTAGATAGTGCTGACTGATATCCCTTCCTAAACATTTGATGTTTAAATATCACAATACATCTTTTCTGTTTTGTTTTGTTTTTGAGGGAGTACTAGGAATCAAACTCAGGACCTTGCACTTGCCAGGCAGTCACTTGTGCCAGTGAGGTATATCCCTAGCCCCAAATCAGTTATTAAAATAATACATAAAACTGACCCCACTAAAATCTTAGCAAGTCTTAAAACATATAGCAAAATGCAGTGTTTCATTATAACATTATTTTCAAGAACTTCATATTCATTAAGTCATCCAACAGCAATCGGACATTTTCTTATCAGAATTAGAGCTGACAGGTATATATTTTTTTATCTAGCAAATTCTTTCTAGTTAATCATTTTTCCCTTTCATATTTGCTCTTGGGTCTTCTGTTGCAATTTTCTCATGTCAAATAAAATGTAATCTTCATAATTGCAATAAGAAGAGAAGATAATTCTGTGAAGGGAAATTATTCAAGGCAGAAGGGCTAAAATTACCAGTCTTAATTGGTTTTCTATTTCTATTGGGTACAGGAATTGTTGTCGGAGAGCTGAGAGTATATGTTAAGCTCCTTGGGGAGCAATAATGTGTTTGGAGAGGGATGAGGGGAAACACAAGATAAATTATTGTTTTTCAGCTTGAATTGCTGTGTAGATTACAAGAAAATAAGGGCGCATAATAAGGACCATTTGCTTGCTAATGGTCATGAAATTACATTCAGTTATAACTGTAGGCAAAACTCACTTGGAAGAAGTATGCAGGGATGGTCTTGGATCTAGACACGCCATGTAGGTCTGTTGCTTCAAAACGCACAAACTGGAGGTGATTTTTGGCCATCTCTTGCTTAATATGTTTCATTTTTGAAGAAAGTTGAGGTGGAGTCAAAATTTGAGTGCTGTTCCTAGCACGATCTAAAAATAAAGGATGTTCTAGGTCACAACAATGATTACCAAGAGGCAAAAGGAGAATTGAGTCTAGTGAACTGGTCATTATGGCAGAATTCATCCCGTGTCTGTCATGAGAATCATGCTTCCACTTGGACATCCTACCTTTCCCACCCTGCCTCGACCATCTTCCCAAGAACATTGTATCAAGACAGCCTAGGAAATTGTTTATCAGTTGGACTAGGTTAAATTAACATAGTTTGCATAAGCATACAGCAACATGGTGCATAGGTACTTCCTGAACATTCCTTTGCTTATGGAAATTAGAACATGTTTGTGTTACATTTGGTGTTCTTTTTAAGAATGAGGGTGTAGATGAAAAATTTGTACTGCATACTTTTAAAATAAGAAATGCAATAAAATGTCCTTTTCAAGACTTTTAAAATAGTCTACAAATTCTAAAACCAGAGATAAATCACCTAACCTAACCAGTTCATTAGCTTGAGTCCCAGAGAGGCACAAAGAGGTATCTCAAGTCATTACAGTTCACTGTTGAGATGGAAATTAGGATCTGGGCTTCACGACTCTTGCTGGCAGGTTGATTACCACAAAACAAATAATCACATCCGTAGGCACATAGAAGGCCCAGGCCCAGAGTTCACATTGATTAATCACTGGAGCCCCAGAGAGTAGTAGTACAGTAGCACAGAGCAGTAGTATGGTACCCTTTCAAATACAGTCTTTGCCTGGCAACTTCCTCACCCTCTCTTTGCCTCTGCTTTCCACTGATAGAACAGTAGCTACCGCACAGGCTTGTTACACGGATCAAACAAGTAACTCAGCAGCTGCTGGCAGACAGCAAACACCACACAAGGGCTGCTCCCCATGCACCAATCACTCTAACCCTGGAAAATGCTCCTCACATCAGACCTATAACTGAGCACCTCAGTCTGTCACATCTGACACTGAACAGCTATCATTTAACGTGATTCTTGAGTACCCTTTTTCAAGATATAATTAGGCTTTAAAAATAAGCATAAAGATTGACAGCTTAAGAATATAGATTTAGCAAATTTTAAATATATGAAGCATGAGGAAAACAAATTACTGGTTCTACCTATGCAAATATATTAGATATAATGTCCTGTCACTGACATGTTTAGCTACTCTGAGATTCCTGAGGCTTTATAACTCCCTCCCATTTAACATAAACAATTACTCCATATCAATTGCAATGTTTCATACAAAATTAGCAGTTTTGGTGTTCCCCAGCTATGCTGAAATATTGGGTATTTGGCCCAAGTTAAATAATGTTCTTTAAACAAAATACAATTTATGAGCCTTTTATAATATGCAAATTTGCAAATGATCACTATTCTAAACATAATAAGCAATTATGTATAAACTGTAAAGAAGGTCTCTCCTATAAAAGAAAAATGATAATTTTATTGGTTCACTGGAAGTCTCATGACAGGTAATCTTACTAGTAATTTCCCTTATCTGTATCTTCTAAATTTTCTGCAAGATATATGTATTATTTTAAAATAAAAGTATTCACCAATTCAAGATAGATTTTTTTTCATCACCACCTACTGTTCATACTGGATACATATCTAAGAAGTTGCCAGAAAAATCTCTGCCCTCATAAAACATTAAATTAATGAGTAGGAAAACTATAGGCAAAAAATATGCCATCAAATGCAAAGTTGGAATAATTTCATAAGACAGAATATTTAAATCTGTGAGACTTCATGGCAGTGCACTCCAGTCCAATTCCTGATTCACTTTAATACCCAGAAGGTGACTGAACCGTGAATGTAATTATCACTTTGCTGGGGTTACCATAACTAATACCCTCATCTAGGAAGCTGAAACAGAAATTTCTTTTCTCGTTGTTTTGGATGTCAGAAGTTGAAGATGAAAGATGTCAGCAGGGTTGTAGCTTCCAAGGCCTCCCTCCTGGGCTGGGTCATCTTCCAATATATTCACATGACCGTCCCTCTGTGTGTATCTGTCCCGATTTCCTCTTCGGAGGACACCAGTGACACTGGGTTAGGGCCCATCCTACTGATCTCATTTAAACTTAACCACCTCTTCCAGGATGCTGGCTCCAAATTCAGGCCCATTCTGAGGCTGTCAGATAAGACTCTAACATGAGAGAGTTGGGGAGATACATGCAGCCGTGAGAGGGTATCATCCATTTGCATTTTCTTCAGTGTTCTCTGTTTCCATGTATGCCCTTCTGTGGGTCATGTTGTACAATCCCCTGTCCTGCCTGTTACCCCACATTTGCTCCTTAGTCCCAAGAGAGTGAGGTCTTAGTTTTACCAGTCGCTCTTTTCTCAGTTCCTGTAGCTGTGCAGGCCAATGATAGGCACTCAGTACTGCCTTAGTAGTTATATGGGTGGAAAAGTGCATGAGTTAATCTCGCCTTTGTAGTTTAACCTTGTCTAATTAAGAAGTAAAAATCCGCACCGTGTATTTTAGAATGTATACTTAGTGTCAAATTTTTCACTTAAAATTTCAGTTCTTTCACCTATTATCAAAACTCTATCCAATCTAATTTCATTTTCAAGGGATCAACTGATCTTGCTATATCATTGTTTTAATCTCTTTCCTTCAATAAATCATATTTGTTACCCACAATTAAACCTTCGCGTTAGCCTCTTCCAGCCACTTGTGATGAACAGCAGCAGATAATCTCTGGGCCCCATTTGTTTTCCTTACAGTGTGATTCCTGAGAGGTGTTCTCCTATCCTGTCTCCTTAGAAGACTAGTAAATTAAATCACTGTGCTTTCATAGAAGTTTTTACTGCTTTGAATGTTTAGAGGGAAAAATTAAGAAAACATTGAAAAAAACTCTTGAAGCTCTATAGCAATTAGAAGGTCCTGGAAAAATGTTATCTGTGTTTAGTGACAATGAAGACATATCTTAGTTACAGAGAAGAGAACAAGCCATGGTCACTTATAAAAGGAAGACTGATTGACAACTGGTGTTATGGCTTGTGTCTAGATGTCTCCCAAAGCATCATATGGTCATAGGTTGGGATTTTTCAGAGGTGGCTGGATCTAGCATGTGTGACACTGGAATTGATTCATGGTGAAATGCTAGGCTCAAGGGCACTAGGATTAAAGGTGTGCGTGCTACCTGCCCTAAGTAGCCTGGATAAGATATAAGGGGTAGAAAGAGCTATGGTCATCCCTTGCTGCTTTGCTACCTTCTGCTCACCATCAACTATTTCTCCTCTGCTATACCTCTCTGTGATGCCACCCTGCCTTAGAGTCAGCTGATTATAGGCTGAAATTTCCACAAACTGTGAGCTTTTCCTCCTTTAACTCTGAGAAAGTAACAACAAGAAAAGCAACTAAGACAGAATTTGGTACCAGAGAAGTGGAGTTGTTGCTGTGACTGTACCTGACCATGTTGCTCAAGAGCCTTTGGGACTGACTTGTGGGAAGAGTTTGGAAAGGCTCCAAGATGCCATCTGAAAAAGTAGAGCTGGGACATGTTAGGTGGTACATGATGGGAGATTTTGGACAGAGATCAAAAGACTGGAATGAAGACAGAAATTATTCCAGCAAAGAGAAGGACCAGGAGGTTTCTGCTGATAAGGTCTGCATTGATTGTTGGATTCCAAATGATGTATGTTATGCCTTGGCAGAAAGTTTATCTGCACTTTGTTTATGTCCAGAGACTCTGCCTGAGACTAAAGGTGGTGAACTAGTAAATGTGGCAGAAGAAATTTCAAGGCAGTCCAATGTTGATGTGGTAGCATAGCTACTGTGAGGGTCTTTTAGCTAGATTTATATTGAGGATCAAGGGCAAAGAGCCCAGTGGAATGACTTAAATGTTTTGAGTTTGGGTGGAAAGGAGCTTCCAATGTTTTGGCCAAAGTTGCAGCCTGCAAAGATGGAACAGAGTAGAAATTGGTTGCTAAAAAGACTAGCAAGGAAAAACCAAGTATTTCAGAAGAAGATAACAGAAGAGCTGGCCTGAGGGCATCACAAGAATCAACAGGACTCCGATTTCCATATCCTCAGAGTTGCAAAGCTGACTTTGCTTTGAAAAAAGAACCCCAGAACATCATGTTCCAGAATGGTAGTGGCATAGAGAATTTTTTCCTCAGAACTAGGTTCAGAGTATTCAGTGATCTAGGAGCTTGACCCCTACAGTCAAGAGAGAAGGAAGCCTGGCTGCTCCAGCTGGCGGCAGACCTTGGCATCATCCATGTGGTGCTGGTTTTAGGTGCCTACAAAATGCAAGAGTTATTAGGTCAGGAAGGCTTCCACTCAGATCTCAGAAGAAGGCCTTGGAGGTCAGGCAGTGTGCTCCTGAGAGGATGATGTGTGAAGCTGTGAGTATGATGCCAAAGGTACAGTGGAGACCCCTGAAGTTTTGAGAAGCCAGAAATGAGGATCATCTGAGGAAAAAATGTAAGAAGCAGCAGAGTTGGCTGAAGAGACAAACCATGAGACATACAACCACTGGCAGTGCCCTAGGGGAAGAACCACCCAAGCCCTTTGGACTTCACATCTTGCTGTACATGAGACTACAGGTCTTGATGTTTGCCCTGCTGGATTTTGGTCTTGCTTTGTTCCCATTACTTGCTATCCCCTTGTTTGTAACTTTTGGAATAGAAACGTCTTTTTTGTGTCATTGAATGTTAGAAGTGCTTAACTTTAGTTTAATTTGTACAGGGGCTCACACCTAAGAGTTTCCCTTAAATCTCAGAGACTTGGGATTTGGACTTTTCTGCAACGTTGAAACTCCTAGGACTTTGGCAACTCTTGGAGATGGACTAAATGCCTTTTGCATAAAAGTTTGTGCATGAGTCTTTGGGGGCTCCAGAGGCAGAATGTTATAGCTTGGGTCTAGATGTCCCCCCAAATCTTGATGCAGTCATAGGGGAGGGCTTTTTCAGAGATGGCTAGATCTAGAATGTGTGACACTAGAATTAATAGTGCAATGATAGGCTCAAGGACACTGGGATTAAGGGTGTGAGTGCCATCTGGCCTAAATAACCTGGTTAAGATATAAGAGATAGAAAGAGTTGTGGTCACCTCATGCATGTTTTGCTACCTCCTCTCTGCCATTAACTACTTCTCATCTACTATGCCTGTCTACAATGCCACCTTGCCTTGAAGCCAGCCAATTATGGACTGAGACCACTACAAACTGTGAGATAAATAAACCTTTGCTCCTTTAACTTTAGGTGCAGAGTATTTTGTCTCAGCAACAAGAAAAATAACTAAGACAGGCTTTCAGAAATACTAATTTTTTAATGAGAAGTACATTATTGAGTGTACACTGTGGTATATTTGGATTTTGTATTCCTAGGAAGCCATACTCCTTCCCACAGACATGCAGTCCTTCAACCACAGGGGTACAGGGAGACTACCCCACATGTACCAGCATGACCCCATGCTTCACCATATCACCTTAGCCAACAGTGTGGAATGTCAGGTAGAACAATGAGCAGGTACAATGCATGAAAAACAGCAACAATAATGTAGGAGGGGTATATACAGGGGCTTAACTTTGAAAAATTACATCGTTTTTGGAAAAACTAAAAGTACTTAGCACAAAGAAAAAAATCTTATCAAACTTTCATGTGCACATTTTAATTGTTGATTGTTATATTTCTATGTGTATGTTTTTTCTAGTATCCAAGAGAGTTTTAACCAATACACTTCATATGCCAAAATAGTTATATCACTATCAGTAACTCAGACTTAGAATTTCACTTTTAGAAAAGACTTGAAGTTGGGCATGGTATGCTTGCCTGTGATCCCAGTACACTGGAGGATCACAAATTCCAGTCCAGCTTGGGTACCTTAGTGACTTAGAGAGACCCTTTCTCAAAATATAAAATGAGAGAGACATAGGAGGGAGGGAGCGAGGGAAGGAAGGAAGGAAAGAAGGAAGGGGGGGAGAAAGGAAAGGAAAGAAGGAAGGGAGGGAGGAAAGCAGGCAGCCTGGGGATGTGGCTTCATAGAAAGCCCTGGGTTCAATCCCAAGTACAAATGAAGGAAGGAAGGGAAAGAGAGAGGGAGAGAGGGAGAAGGGATGTGAGAGCTCTTCTGTGGCAATGCCTATGTTTTTCAGATAAGCAGCATACAGGATAAAGAAAACTGAAATATGCTTTTAAAATGATAGATTTAGAAATTATTTTGCATTACAAATGGCAAGCTAGCATTCCTTAGTCAAGATTACATTATCTGTACTTCCAACACAAATTTGGAATTAGCAGCTAGAACCATGCACCCACATTTGTTCCAGAAACTTTAACAGTTAGTCCTTATCAGAGTTTGGGTTAAATTCACCAGCCAGAGCACTGGTTGCTATTTTTGGAGATGATGATTTTACTACTGTAGTTTGATCCTGGCAGTCCTTGTCACTGTGTGACAGATGAGATTCAGCAGTTTTGCTCATGTCTCCCAGTTTGTGACACACCATTTGGTGTCTGGTCCTCTCTGTAGCTGTAGGGAATGTATTAAAACACTTAGCCATTGTTGCCAGTTGTGTTTTATATAAAATGGAGAGGAAACAAGAAGCTAGACTTAGTGATAGAACACTTACCTAGCATGTACCAGGTCCTGAACAGGGCCTGGCACCCCAAAAAAAAAACACAAATGAAGGAGAAAAGGAGAAAAAAGATAAAGAGGAATACTTGGGAAAGTGGTGAGCCCTAGGTAGTGACAGGCCAAAAGAAGGATAGTGAGAGTGATCCACCATAGCCGGAAGTCCTAAGCCGTAGGAAAGGTGCACCTGCTCTTTATTGTCACCATGTGCTGCAGTCCTCCTGCCTATGCCTTGGGACACTGCCACTCCTAGCATTAAGTTTGCTGTCATCCAAGTTAATGCTCAAATTCAGAACTGATTCAAACCTGCTGTAGCCCAGCCAGAATTCCAGCACATGCTAAGAAAATTCATTGTATTTCTTTCTCTTGTGCTCTGCCTTCCAAATCCTCAGTAAAGATCTCTTCATTCGGGGCTGGGGATTTAGCTCAGTGGCAAAGCGCCTGCCTGGCAAGCGCAAGGTTGTGAGTTCGGTTCCCGGTACCGGAGGAAAACCAAAAAAACAAAACAAAAAAAAAAGATCTCTTCATTCCTTCTCACTAAAAAATGTGATTCTCTTCATATTTGCTTTTGTTCTTCTGCTTCACTCTCTTTTTTTCCATTATAATCATCCTAGTTCTCACCATTCTTAAATTCTTAATATTTTGCTTCCTTATTTGAATATTTACATAGAAATATTATATACATGTCATCTTTTATGTCACTTATGTGGCAGTAAATTTCATTCTATTGTTCTACTTCTCCCAAAGGAAAGAAAGTATTTATGGGGAAAAAATACCAACTAGAGATCATCACTGACCACACCATCTTTGAGAGATCAAAGTAGTTAGATACCATTGGAATTCGATGTGTTCATTTCTCTCACTTGAGTGGAACAAAGATGTGATTTGATGACTTTCTTTCGTGTCCTTCTTAATTTACTCATCCTGCTGGCTTCAGCCTCATTGCCATCATCTTTTGTCGTGTCCTATAAAAGTAAGTAAGCAAAAATTCAAATACCATTCCACACAAACAATTAAATTAGGATGCAAAAGAATATGACATTGGGTAGCTAGATTTTCAAATGTGCACAGGAGACATTTTTTAAATTTCATTTTAAAGAGAATAAAAACTAATAATAAAACATTAGAAACAATACAGAACTTCACAAAACAAGATAATAGGAATTCAACAATGGTTATTATATTGCATATTGTTGTCTTCAAATGTTGTTCAGAGTACCAGAACAGGACATCAAAATATTAAGAATTTAAGAATGGTTGTTATATTGCATATTATTGTCTTCAAATGTTGTTCAGATTACCAGTTGTTCAGATTACCAGATATAAACATGCAAAATTGGTCAAAAACATTTAGGCATTAACTGTTCCTTTCAATAAGCCAATAGAAACCAGCAGTATAATTATCTTAGCTATGGTGTGTGTGTGTGTGTGTGTGTGTGTGTGTGTGTGTGTGTGTGTGTATTTTTTTCTTTTCTTTTTTTCTTTTCTCCTTTCCCTCATCCCAGTTCTTTCCTTTTGAGCAGTTTCTTTCCCTTTCACAAGTAGATAAATTTTGTCATCACTCCATTTGTTTGAATATTACAGGCCGGATTTTTCTCTACCTTCTTTTATGAGTGACATAGAAAATATCATTAAGTAAATTAAGATCTAGTCTAACTACTTAGTATTTGTCCATTTTTTACTTTGGAATATATTATATTATTTGATCCTAAATAGTCTCATAAAACCAACTTCATCAGAAAAGCATATGATGTATTTTAGGATCTCTAATCTTTGTGACCAAAAGTATAAGCATCCAAAAGATTGTATTCTCTTTTCTCTTTCCAGTCATCCCCTCTCATCCTTCTTGCATCAATGCTTACTTTTCTTCAAAAAAGTACTTTCATTCATAAATTGTTATTTTGTGACTGGTTTTAAATGGATAAAAGAAATGTCATACTCTGGCCGGGTGTGATGGTAATCCCAGGACTCAGGAGGCTCACTGCAAATTCAAGGCCAGTCTGAGCTACACAGGGAGTTCAAAGCTAACTTGACATGCATAGAGAAACCCTGTCTCAAAAAAAAAAAGAAAGAAAGAAAGAAAGAAAGAAAGAAAGAAAGAAAGAAAGAAAGAAAGAAGAAAAGAAAGAAAGAAAACAAAAAATGTAATACTCAAACTAATTTCTAGTTTGGGAAAATTCAAAGAAATACATTTAAAGCAAAATATCCTCACTTTAGCCTTTTAGTTAAAGTCGTTGACAAGCTACTGCAGCAGGAAACCAGGCAGTGAGGTAGAAGCTAGCAGTGGTAGCTCAGATGTCTCAATATTGACAGTGGGAAGAGTCACCTGTAGTCCTAGTACACAAAACAAACTCTCACTAGAAAAAAATTGTTTCTAAATTAACTGGTGAGGGCAGGGATATAGCTCACCAGCACAGCACCAGCCTGACAAGCATCACATCCTGAGTTCAATTCCAGTACCAAATAAATAAACAAACAAACTGTGGTGGATTGAGCACCAAGATGGCAGAGCAGCAAGCAGCAGAAAGAGTCTCTCTGAGAGTTGCCGTCCAGATGCTGGAATATAACCTTGTAAAGAAGACAAGAAGGAAGGAACAGGGTCCCCTGCACCCAGGAAGAATCTGAAGCATGAATTGAAGCCCACAGAGAGAGTGAAGAGAGAAACTTCAACAAAGAAGAAGGAGGTAGCTAGTGGCACACTGTCCCTGAGATGAGACTTACTGTGCGAGAGGAGTGATTCAAACCTACAGACAGACAGTGACTGCTGGAGACCCCAGAGGCCTCCATGGAGAGATACAGTGGTGAAAGGGAGCAGAGGATATGAAGGACTGAACTAGCTGGTGGTGAGTGCTGAAGGTTCAGTCATATGGCGCAAGGGAGTGATTGGTCAGGAGCCATCCTGGAGAGGGGTCAGTTGAGCTCAGAAGTCAGAGCAGCTGTAGGGTCAATTTAGTGCCTCCCAGCTGGGTTTAGGCCCATGGTAGGTGCTCTGATGGCTGAAGGCTGAATAAGTCTGGGCTCAGCCAGAGGCACAGGCTTGCTGTGATTATCCACAACCCTGCGAAAAAGCTACTGCTGGCTTGCTAGGATAGATCAACACGGATTGGACTCTGTCTCCACATATTGTCCTCAAGTGACAGCAGAGACATATCTGGAAGTGGGCTTTTTCTTCCCTCTGTCTTGTTTGCTTTCCTTTTTGCTGTGGTGGTGGTGATGGTTTTGGTTTTGGTTTTGGTGCTTTTCCTTCATTCTTTGATCCTGTTTTTACACAAATGTGAACATGCCTTCTAGCATCTTTGTGATTGTGATTCTGTTCTGTTCTTCTTTCTATCTCTTTCTTCTCTTTCCCTCCAGTGTTCTGCACCAGTTTCCCAAAGTTAGCATAATCCCTCTTTGTCCTCCAGCCCTACTTCTAAACTCTTCCTTTTCTTCCACTTCTCTATTTTCTCCCTAACCAATTTTAAATCTTAAACCCTGAGGACAAAATTGACATATTAAGGAACTGTATATTGCATATAATTTTCTGGTTTGTGTTAGATTTTGTTATATAATAACCATAAATATACTTCATATGGTTAAAGGTGGAAACTTAAGGGTTAGCTCACTTATAAAGGAAAGCCCGTAAAAATCACATCTAACTTCTCAGCACAAACCCTGAAGTCAAGGAGAGCTTGGAGTGAAGTATTTCAAGTTCTAAAGGAAAGTAACCTTCAACCCAGACTGATGTACCCTGCAACACTATCTTTCAAAATTGATGGAGAAATGAGATACTTCCATGACAAAGAACATCTGAGGAAATTTATGACCACCAAACCAGCACTCCAAAATGTTTTGAGGGACATTCTAGAAAGAAATAACAAGGACTACAATTTCATGAACACCTCCAGAAGGGCTATACCAGGCAAGGCAAACAATTAAGCAGAGGGAGAGAAAAAAAAGAAAGCCAATAACAGGAAAATAACATGACAAGATAAGTCATTACGTATGTTATAACCATCAACGCTAATGGCCTCAATTCACCAATCAAAAGACACAGACTGTCAGAATGGATCAAAAAGTAAGATCCAACAATATGCTACACATAAGAAACATTTTTAAGTCAAAAAAATTCATAGACTGAAAGTCAAGTGATGGAAAACAATACTCCATGGGACAGGAACCCAGAAAAACTCAGGAGTAGCTATTTTATTTGCAGGAAAAGTGAATTTTAAGCTAAGGCTGGTTAAGAGAGACAAAGAAGATCACTACATCCTTGTAAAGGGAACAATTCAAGTGGAGGAGATAACAATCATCAATTAACAGTGGTGGTTTTAAAGTTTTTTGCAATCTTCTCATTGTGCCTTGAGGGAGGGGATAGTGACAGGATGAGGGTCAAAAGCTATATTCTAAATGTTTTGAGCTATCATCTCTTCAAAGAGCAGGTTTTAAGCAGTGCCACATGTAGGGGCAGATTATACACACATATGTCCCAGCTGTTTTCCAGGGAAGATCTGTACCAGTTTTTTCATAAAATCAACTCAGTTTTTGAAGCTAAAAGAAAAAAAAAGAATTTTCATGTTTTCTCCATTTATGTGTAATTGTGATGCATTGTTATTCTCATTCTTATATTTAAAAGGAAAAGTTTCATGGAATAAATCCTGCTTTGTAATTTGTGCCTTCGCTTCTTAGTAAATTGTGGCCCCATTTACTCCAGATAATCTCATATTTGGATTTTATGGTACTCACTGTGTGTTATAGTAATATATTTTCTCCTACTAGTTTAAGATTATATTCAAATGTTTTCATAGATTTTCCCTGTATACTTTTGGTAGAATTTGGTAGCACTATAAAGTCTTATTAAACATATTCACATTTCTAAAATTGTATTACCAGAAATGTGCATTATATAATTTTATTTGTGTTAAATGTTTTACATATGTGTGATCTTTTAAACAAATCTTATTTGTAAAAGTATGTAAGAGTCAAAGGAACCAGAGCATACTAACATTCTTACTAGTTCAGCACTTGAGATTCCCCTTATCTGTAGATTGGAGGACTCAGAAGAGATGAACCTTAGGATCCAGCTTCAAACTCAGCCATCAGTTGTATAAACGACTGAATGACAATGTGCTAAAACATGGACAGGTGTATTTTCTGGCATACTCCGTGGGAAAAAGAATCTTAACTTTGCACATGAGAAAATCTAGCCTCAAAGTAACTTACCCAAGACCACAATGTATGTAGAAGACACAGTTTCCATAAAGGTCTGATTTTCTAAACCTCATTCTGCCTCCAAAATCCAGAGGTTCAAGCTCAGATAAAGTGCATTTTTATAACATTCATCAGCTTCATATAAATGAGGCCAAAAGGGAATGTTTCTTAAGACAATTTACCTGGATACCAACTGCAGAATTTTACCAATATTAGCCCAAAACCATAGTTTGAAATATATGCCTCTTATTCAAGATAAATAGTTTTTGAAGGGAGGCTTTTTTCCTAAGTGAAAAATTAATTTCCTTCTGTCTTTGATTTTATTTTATATACTGGAGTGATCACAGTATAGTCATTGGTATAATAGCTAAAACAGATTTATTGGATTGCTAATTTATTCCTTCTACAGAAAAATCTTTTATCTCTTTAATCTTTCAGTCATATTTAGGTACAGCAGGAATAACATTTCAGCAAAAATTCTACTAAACAAATTCATATGGTTTGAGTTCTAACTTTGTCTTTTCCATGAAGTAGCGAGTTCTTTCGGCCCCTTGATAGCCTCATCCATACATAAAAAAGTGGACTCACACTTAGCAGGTACATTCACATTTTAAAATTATTTTCATAACCAAGAAATATTTCATATCTTACTTAATACTCATAGCCAAACTGGAAGAATAGCTATTAGAGATATTTTGCTAAAGTAGAAATAAACCCATAGGTTTTAAATAATTTGTTCAAGGTCATTATGACTGGCTAGAAAGAATGGAAATTAAAACCTAGGTCATTTATTTAGAGTGCTTCTCCCATTATCTCTGCAGGGCAGTTTGCATAAACAGAATTTCATCTATATTATATAAAGTTGTCCACAAAGGTCATACAACTTGTTTGACTTCATCAATTATATATTCTTTCTCAACTATATATTTTAAATAATTCTTTCCTTTGTATGAGTTAGAATCATCTTCACTCATGTCACCTGACTTCATCAATCCAAAGAGGGAAAGTGTAACCTACTGTGGATAAGACACAATCAAAGACATAAAAATAAAATACAAGATAGCATTTTCAAGATTTATCTATTACAAATTGTGTTGCTATAAACATGGGTGCACATATATCACTGTAGTATGATGTTTTCATTTCTTCTGGGAAAATATCCAGAAGGAGAATAACTAAATGTCCATTAACTGAGGAATGGATAAAAGACATGGTATTGTTATACAATGGAGTACTACTCAGCTATAAAGAAAGGTAAACTTGAGGCATTTATAGGTAAACGGATGTAACTGGAGAACATACTCGCAAGTGAAATAAATCTGAGTCACATGTGTAAACATTGTGTTGCCTCCCTAGTGTAAGAAACTGAAAGAATAAATAAGATCCAAAAGGTACATAGATACTGTGAAAGGGAAAGAAACTTCTCAAAAGGAAAGAACTGGGATGAGGGAAATGAGAAAAGAAGGAAGGAAAAAAAGATACATGAACATATATAAAAGATAGCTAAGATAATTTTACTAATTTCTATTAGTTCACTGAAAGGAACAGTTAGTGCTTATATCATCTGATTAATTTTGCATGCCTGTATCTAGTAACCTAAGCAGCGACTTTGAAAATAACAATATGCTATATAATAACCATTGTTAATTTCCTATCAACCTGTTTTGAAATTCTGTACTGGTTTTAATGTTTTTCTTTCTGTCTTTAAAATT